CCGACAGCCTCTTCTGTCCTCTGCAGGCACTGCACGGCACAGGTGCACTTACCTACATGCAAGCAATACACACATACACAGAAAATAAAGATAATAAAATTTTTAAAAAGATAGTATGTGTAAGCACTAAGCCATCTCTCTAACTCCTTAACCTTAATTTTCATTATCTGTAGCCTCCTTTCCTTCATATTATTCCAGTTACTCAATAAGTAACCATATTTCACTTCTGATCCAACACCACTTAGAAGTTAACTAGCAGGTAAACATACTTATTAATCTTTTTCTAACCTCTTCTGCCAGATGCTCTTGCTCTTTCTGGTATGGGTCACTCTTTTTGGCTGACAGACACCCTCCAAATTCACGTTTCTCTGTATTCATCGCAATATTTGATAAAGGAGAGTCTTCCACGTTAAATTCTTGTATTTTCTCAGTACTTATAACCTTTTTCTCTTTGAGAGTTCTCATGTTTGTATCCTGAAAAGAGATATTCAATTGTAATAATCAATCTTACTAATCGTGGTTGATTGGGGGGGTTCTATTTTATTTTATGTGTATGAGTGTTATGCCTGCATGTATGTGAGCACACCCATGTCAAGCAGTGCTTGTGGAGGTCAGAAGAGGGCATCAGATCCCCTGGAAGTGGTTGCTGGAATTCAAACCAGGGTCTTCTGCAAGAGCAGCCAGTGAGTGCTCTTAACCACTGAGGCATCTCTCCAGCCCCACATTGTTTTGCTTTTGGAAACAAAGGTCTTATTATGTAGCCAGGCTGGCTTTGAAGTGCTGTGTAGTCCAAGCCATCCTCAATTAGAGATACATATACCTCAGCTTCTCAAGCACTGCAATTACAGGAATGTGCCCACCCACTGCCAAGAGACTATTAACATTGTTATGAAAGGATATGTTCACTAGTAGAGTTAAATAATTTCAATATTCTCATTTAGCAAAGGAAAATACATAAATAGAAAAACAGAAAAAGTGAAAATAGAACTTGAATCTAAGTAAGCTATTACATCAGTAAAAGCACTATTTTATTATAATTTAGTATAATCAGAATTAACATGGTGGTACTTGCTTATAAGTCCAGTTCTTTGGGAGGCTGAGACAGAACTGTCTAGAGTTCAAGGTCAGCCTGGGCTATATAGTGAGTTCAAAACAAGCCTGGCTCAATTAGTGAGGCCCTAACTCACAACAAACGAAAAACAACAAAAAGGAAAATTGTTTTAGAATATACCTTTTCAAGTAGTGTGCCGCTGATTCTATCTGATGATGAAGGGTACTGTAAAAGACAAGACCCAGGGCTAAAAGGAAAAAAGACACAAATCTAGTTAGAAGTAGGGAAGAATTCATTCACTTGATGGGACTGAACATTCCAAGAAAAATTGTCTGCCCCGTATCTGTCCATGACGATTTCACTCAACTCGTCCTGGTCATCAAAAGGCAATTTATTCTTGGGAGATACAGTGACAATTAGAGCAGTATTTTCGCCCAATTTGTGTATCTGTCTCCCAATTAACAACTAAAACTTTACTATTTACTAAGTCAACAATATTTTCATATCACTACATGACAAACACACAACTTGAGTATAGCTAAAAAACAAATTCAATTAACTAGCATGAAAATATAATTTCATAATAGCAGAGACTTTAATATTCTTTCAGTCAGGCACAGTAGCACACCTGAAATATCAGCATTTCAGAGGTTGAGGCAGGAAAGTCTCAAGTTCCAAGCCAAGCTGGGACTTAGCTCAAAAACCAGAAATAAGCAAGTAATCACAGCAAATGTACATTGAGTACAGCGGTCCTGTTATGTCCAAAGACACTTTCACTCTGGCTCTGACTATCATTCCCCTCCTCTTCCTCAACTGCCACTCAGCCTTGGAGATGAGATGTGCTATAGATGTCCCATTTGAGGCTGAGAATTCCATTGTCACTTACTCTCTGCACTTTACCAGTTGTATGTGTCTGCATTAACTACTATCCACACTGCACAAAGAAACTTCTCTAATGAGGTCTGAGAGCTACATTAATCCCAGCTCAGGACTGCTGGTCAAGACTTGCACAACATCAAGACAGTCAACCAGTAGGAAGGGATTCGTGAGCCCCCACCCCTAAGGAGCCATTGAGAGCTGGCGACTTCTGGATGAGTGAGAGCCAGCTTTCTTTAAAAGGGTGTAGGTCCTGGTAGTTCGACCATACTCCAGTGGATGGCTTCATACCCAAAAGCATATGGACAGCACAAAGTGGAGTAGATGGGTTATTAAATTATAAGGAAAAAAAAAATAGAGCTGGTATGATGGCTCAGGGGCAAAAGCACTTGCCATGTAAACCTAACAATCTGAATTTGATCCCCAGAACCCACCATATGAGAGAATCAACTCTCAAAAGTTGTCCTGTGCACATACACCAAGGCACACACACACATGTGAAACACACACATTCAAAACAATAATTTCTTTTTCTTTTAGAATATTTATTTACAATAGCACTTTACAGGTTAAAATTCCACAGTAAGGATGAATTGTAAGTATAAATACTGCCTCACATACAATCCTAAAAAATTCAGCACAAAGTACTGTCGTTTTTGTTTTATGTTGTTTTGCTTTTATGAAACAGGGCCTCATTATGTAGCCCTAGCAGGCCTGGAACTCACTACATAGACCAGACTAGCCTCAAAATTACAGAGAACCACTTGGTTCTGTCTCCTAACTGTTGGGATTAAAGGCATGTGCCCTCATGCCAATAGAAATTATTTTTAAAGCATGCAATAAACAAATAGCGGTCAATGCACCTTAAGTCTCTAATGCCAGTGTGGCCATTTAAAATTTCTTTATTTATTTTTACTTTATGTGTATGAGTGTTCTGCCTGCATGTATGTAAGTGC